CTACCCATATCTCTCTTCAAAGCCTCTCATCCTTTCAGTAGCCAACAGCATCTCATAAATTAGTATGATTAGCAAATCTGCGGATTCATTCCATTCCTGAATCCAGATAATTGATAATAATATTTAACAGGATTGGCCCAAGAATTGAGAACTGAGAAACACTGGTAGTGACTGGCCACCAGCCTGATATAGCTCCACTTGCTACAACTTTTTGAGTCCTATCATCAAACCAATTCATTGCCTAGCATAGCATGAAACTGATTGTCTCACCTGTTTGTTGGAGAATTTGCCCAGAAAGATGCTGTGTGAGATGTTTATCAAAGACCTTTCTAAAATATAGGATGATTATATCCACCACCTTCCCTTCATCCACAAAGCTAATGATCTTATTCCAGAGGATCAGATTACTTAGGCAGGACTTCACTTTGATGAACCCATGCTGACCATGCCTGGTCACAGCGTTGTTCTTTTACTGCCTTTCAACATCCGCCAGGACAATCTTCTCCATAACTTATCCTGAGACTGTGCTTAAACTAACAGATCTGTGGTTTTCTGGGTCTTCTCTTCCACCGTTGCTGTAGATTGGTATTGCATTGGCTATGACCATACTGGTATGTTCTTTTCCAAAGCACTTATTTTTTGTAGTGGTCTTGAAATATGTATTTCTTGCCTAAATCTGTATTACTTAAGCCTTTTCAAACTTAAGTGATCTTCCTCAATTTCCAGTGAGATTGAAAAAAATTTTGCATGGGTGTTCTATCAAAAAGCTACACTTTTTTACAATGATTTCTTCCCTGTCTGTTCAACCAGAAATCTCAGAATAAAATTTATTTCCAAAACAATCTCTGCTCTGTCAGCATAATCCCAGAATGTGTCTGCTTGCTGTACAGTAAATACCTGTGACTTTCTGGGGCTAGTCTAAACATTTATTTCTGCACTGTTCTTTATATTTGGATGAATAATGAAAATATGCTTTTCAAAGCACTAGGACTAAGATGTGATTACTCTTCCAAAGAATTTACAATACAAGGCACAAATTCCATAGGTCATATTATAATAGAACATAAAGGCTTTTTTTCCTTTTTTTTTTTTTTTCTTTTTCTTTTTAAACTTCCTACTGGAGGGAAAGCTTTCTTCAAATAGAAAACAGCCAAAATATGCTGTTACTGACAGCATTTAAGGTTGTTATCCAGAGTTTGGACATAAAACTTTATTATACAGTCATTTGAAGCAGTGAATTAACCAGTCTCCTACACAGAAAGGCCAAGCAATGCAGCCCCATTGTTCCAGAATTGGAGATCTCCCAGGGTCAGGATGTTTACTGCCAAACAGACAGAGCCCATTGCCTGTGTGCTATACAGCTTGCAGATAGCAGTAGGAGGAGATCTGTCAGAGATGAGCAGGCAGGCCCCTTGCTCCAATGAAAAGACATCAAGCACTATACCAAAGGCTTCCCCTGTAGCACCACACTAACAATAAACGATTATGTGGCCTCTATGAGTCAGTGACCAGCTGAAATAAGCTCGCCTAGTAGAGCATCTCCAAATGTCACAAAATGTTGCTGCTCCATGTGGTCAGTGCACTCTTTCTTTGTGAAAATAAACCCACACAAAATTCGCAAAAGTACCCCACTAACTTCAAATCACATGTGTTTTTTAAAATGAGGAAAAATAAGAACTGTAACTTTATACCATTATCATGCTTTTTCATGTTGGTCTGGATTGGCCTGAGAAGATGATCCATACAATTCACTTGTTTGGTTGGCTTTCTGTACAACTAATAACAGAATGATCCCTTTTTAAAAAGACTTAAAAAAAAAAAAAAAGGTGAGACAAAAGTAAAATCTTTCATTTTCAGTAAGCTCAGTGAATTATGCTTTTTTTTTTTTTTTTTTAAGGGGTAAGGTGCATTAAAAATTTTAAAAAGAATAATTTAAAAATCAGCAATTGAAATTACATGTTGCATTCTCACCATGAAGGAGATATTTTAGTCTAAGCATTGATGAAGTAGCCCTTGGACCAGTCCAAGTAGAACAAAAGTAGAAGGGAAAATGGCCCCATTTGGAGCTTCTGGCAGAAAGCTCCAGAAGAAACTTGACGTTAACCCTTAGGATTTTGAAGATGAGGATACAGAACATGACTGCTATACTTCAAATGAAAAAGAGAGATTGGCAGCATGGAAAGAGGTCTGAGCTGCTTCAGAAGTTTAATAAAGCACAGCTCCTTTTGGCACCCAGCTGCCTATGCTGGGCTGGATGTTCAAAGAGATGGTCCCTCCACATATCATGAATCTGATACTATGTGGGGTAAATGGATTAAATGGATCACACTGATCACACAACAAGCTGTAGCAAGAAATCCAGGAATCTCAGAAGTGATTATGGAATGGCCTGAAGGCAAAGATCTTGGAATACTGCCAGATGAAGAAGTGATGCATGCTGAAGAGTCCCCACTGTATAATAAACTGAGAATGAGAAGCAATATGCCTTGTTCACTGACGGGTCCTGTCATTCTGGGAGTCAAAGGTGACAGGCTGAAGTATATACTACTACTCAACAAGTTGCAGAGACTCAGAAAAAGGCAAGCCTATCAGTGGGATTGCTTTCATTCAAGGTCCTGTATGCACTTGGTGGGCAATGCAGAAGAATGGATAAGTTCAATATGTACCTCAAGGCAATTTGAAATTAGTTGAGAATAAACAATTATTTGAACTGTATGAAGTTAGTTGCTATATAATGCTGTACATCATCATTAGTATGGTTTCTATATGTCATATCGATGGACTTACATTTAGATTCACCCAGATGAATGAAGAATGAATTCTGATGGAAGCAAGCATAGCACAATGGTAGTGGAATCAGAACTAGATTTATCATGCAACAATCCATCATAATGCAGCCTCTTTCCTGTCTTGAATGACTGCTATAACAGATGAAGATCAGAGTCATGGACTAAAAAAATTCAACTGATCATTTTACAGGGATGGCCCAAAGAGAAAATGATACCTGTGTTTTTGTATCAAAAGACAGGAAAGGTGGTAATTAAGTGGTATGTATAGGAAAGTGTGGGGCCTGAGCATGATGCACATGGTATGGAATAAGGGAATGGATGTTGTTCTGATTTTTACTGAGATAATTTTTTTCATAGTGGCTGGTATGATACCACGTTTTGGATTTACAAGAAAAAAGTAGTATTGATATCACACTAATGGTTTAGTTGTTGCTGAGCAATGCTTATGTAAGTCAATGCCTTTTCATCTTCTCAAGCTGACTTGGGCTAGTGGTGCACAAGGAGCTGGCAGAACAACTAACCAAAACTGACCAAAGGGATAACCCATATCATATGGTACTGTGCTCAGCAATAAGAATTGCAGTCGACTGGGAAGTAAGAGAGTGCTTTATTTGGAAAATTATATTGTACTGCAATCTGTGATGTGTCTCACAAAAGTAGTATTTGGCCAGGTTGGATATTAGGAAAAATTTATTCCCCAAAAGAGTAATCCAATTTTGGGGAACAGGCTGCCAAGGCAAGTTATGGAGTTACTATCACTGGAGGTGTTGTAGAAATGTGTAGATATGGCACTTAGGGACATGGCTAGTGGGCATGGTGGTGACGGGCTGACAGTCAAACTAGATGATTTCACAGGTCTTTTCCAACTCAATGATTCTATGATTCTATATACCATTTGCTAACTAAACTCTCTGTTTTTTTCTCATCTTTTTATTTTGTAATCTCCAATACACAGTGCATGGACACAGTAAGCTACTTGTTTGATAGCGATAGATAGAGCAATCTGGTTTCCTTTGTTCTCCTACAGTAATTAATAGCAGAATCAAAGACAAACATAAAGAAATAAACAACAGGGAAAAAAAAAAAAGAAAAAAAAAAAAGAAAAAAACACTTGTATTTCCAAATGTTTATCTGAGTTTGATAAGTCAAAATGTCTTAAGTATACAAGATGCGTATAATAGCAATATGATCTGTGCTATAAACAGAGAAAAACATTGGAGAAATTATTTATTTTATACTAAAAATATGTAATAATTTTGTTTGTTTTAGTAAAGTCAATTGTAGTTGGACTTCAAAGTGACACATTTGAAGTTCACTTTAATTTAAGATATACATAGGATTTAATAAAAAGTGTTTTTTATAGGAAAATACTAAGAAAGGAAAATACAGAAATCAAATGTGATTACAGAGAAAATAATATCAAATGGTTCAGATTTAACATTAATATTTATCATTGTATATCAACTTAGAAACCCTGTTATCAGTTTCATGTGGGCAGAACATTCTGTATGCACCAGGCCAAATTATTATGATCCACAGATGACATAATTAGGCTTTTTTGCCTCTACAGTAGGTTAGTTGGTATAAGAATATTTCTAAGAATATTCATGAAAGCAAACTTAATTATGGAAATGATAACATGTTCTATAGTTACTTGCATGCTTTAATGTTTGAATTAAAACCCACCATGTCATTAAGACTGCTTTAGTATAAAAAGTTAAAGATGCTTTGAAGGGCTTAGCTGAATTACAAGCAGCAAAACAAGATTGAGAATGCACATGGATCACAGAATCATAGAATTCTAGAGGTTGGAAGGGATCTCTAGAGAACAGAGTCCAACTCTAGAGAACAGAGTCCAACTACCTGCTAAAGCAGGTTTTCTACTGCACATCGCACATGAAGGCGTACAGATCAGTCTTCAATATCTTCAAAGAAAAGCACTTCACAACCTCTCTGGGCAGCCTACTCCAAAGCATCATCAATTTCATAGTAAAGTTTTTCTTGTGATAGTGTGGAACTTCCTGTGTTCCAGTTTCTTACCACTGCCCCTTGTTCTATCGCTGCACACCACAGAAAACAGTCCAACACATAAATTTGACTCGCACACCTTAGGTATTTATGAAGCTATGAGATCACCTCTCAGACGTTTCCTCTTCTGATGGACAGGTCCCTCAGTCCCTTTCCTCTTAAGTGAGATGCTCCAGATTGTTTTTGCTTCAGCAGCACATATACTAAAATTGGAACAATACAGGGTAGATTAGTGTGCCTTGTGCACAAGGATGACATACAAATTTGTGAAGCATTCCATATTTTCCTTCTACTGGAGAAGCTGGCAGCTTGTGGCTTGGACAGATACACTCTTTGCTCATAAAGAACTGTCTGGAGGGCTGGGTCCAGAGAGCAGTGGTGAGCAGATTTAGATACAGCTGATGACCAGTCATGAGTGGTGCTCCCCAGAGGTTGGTACTGGGGTCTGTCCTATGCAGTACATGTATTGATGACCTGGAAAAGGGTATTGAATGCACCCTCAGTTGCAGATGGCACAAAGCTGAGAGGAAATGTTAGCCTGCCTGAGCATATTAAGGCCTTTCAAAGGAATCTGGACAGGCTGAACAGCATAGCTGGGATGAAGTCAGTGGGATGAAGTCCAACATGACCAAGTGCCAGGTCCTGCACTTTGGCCACAACAACCCCTGACAATGCTACAGGCTTGGGTCAGAATGTCTGGAAGACTATGTAGGTCATCGGTTGGCTGAACATGAGCAAGCAGTGTGCCCAGGTAGCCAAGACCAATGGCATCCTGGTCTGGAGGGGTCTGGAGCACAAGTCTTATAAGGAGCAGTTGAGGGAATTGGGATTATTTGGTCTGGAGAACAGAAGGCTTAGAGGAGGCCTTACTGCTCTCTATAGTTACATGAAAGGAGATTGTGGGGAGGTGGAGGTTGGCCACTTCTCCTGCATAACTAGAGATAGGATGACAGGTTTGCAGCAGGGGAGGTTTAGGTTGGATATTAGGAAAATTTTCTCCTCTGAAAGAGCAGTCAGATGCTGGAACAGGCTGCCCAGGGAGGTGGTTGAATTATTGTCTCTGAAGGTGACATTTAGATGAAACATAGTTAGAATTTAGATGTGGTACTAAAGGGCATGTTTTAATGGGGAAATACTGTTGGTGGATGGACAATTGGACTAGATGATCTTGGAAGTCATTTCCAACCTTGGTGATTCTATGATTCTAATCATCTTTACGGCCCTTGGCTGGACTCTCACTAGAAGTTCTCTGTTTTTCTTTAACTGAGGATCCCAGAACTGGACAAAATACTCCAGACGTGCCCTTACCAGTGCAAAGTAGAGGAGCAGAGGAGGATCACTTCCTTCAACCTGCTGGCTGTGTTGTTTTTAATGCATCCCAAGGTACCATTTGCCTTTTGGGCCACAAGGATACACCTCTGGCTCATGGCCAACCCATTGTCCACCAGAATATCCAAGTTCTTCTCTGCAGAGCTCCTCTTCAGCAGGTCAGCCCCTAATCTGTACTGATGCATGGGGTTATTCCTCCCCATGTGTAGGACTTCGCACTTCCTTTGTTGAGCCACATCAGGTTCCTCACTGCCCAGCAAGGTGAGGCAGATTTTGTGTCAACTACAGACAGAACTGACTTAAGTTGAGGAAAATTAATTTTATTTATTGTCAATTAAAATATTCAAGTAGACAGGAAGAAGGAAACCATATAAAAACATCATCTGTCCTCCCCCTTTCCTTGGTTTACCTTCGTTCCTTTATTTCAGACTCCTCTACTCTGTCCTGGAGTGGTGTAGGTGGGTATCATGGAGGACAGAGTTACAATAAGTTAGAAGCGGTTTCTCTGCTTCTTCCTCCTCACACTATTTCATTGCTTCAGTATAGGCTCCTGTAAGACATTATTATTTTTATGCCATTGCCTCAAAGCTTGCTAATGAGTAAGTCCTAAGAAGTCCTTGACCAGGGTTGAGAAATCCTTTGTCTAGAAAACACAGATGAACAAGTCCTGAGTAAGGGTTGTGAAATCCTTTGTCTGAGGGACACAGATGGACAAGGCTAGGAGCAATGAGAGAAAGATAAGCTGCAGATTAATGGCTGGGAAGCAATTTTTTGTGGGCTTATCTCAAGGAAGATGGCTATCTCAAGAGGTGCTGCACATGACTCTTACCCAAGCGCCCAGGAAAGCTATGCTGGCAGAAGAAGAAGGATAAAATCATGAGGTTTAGGGTTTCTGACAACAGATTCCTCATGAAGAAAAAGAGGGTTTTTCAGACATGAGAAGCCTCACGTCCTGCCTCTCTTCCTCCTGGACCTACTTTGGAGCAGCACCTTCCTGCTGCCTAAGGCCAGCCATGCTGCTCTCCCCTGAAAGGTTTCTGACAACAGATTCCTCACAATGTGATGCCTGCATGCTGAAGAAGAAAAACAAAGGTGTCTGCCATCAGAAGCCCCACAAGCTGATGCCTGCATGCTGACAAACTCTCTCCTGAGCCCACTACCTGAGTCCTGCTGCTTCTTTCTGGACTTACCCTGTGGCTTCTTCCTGCTACCTGCTTGCTGCCCAAGGCCAACCACACCGCTGATGCTCTCCCCCTGCGCTTTTGCCTCGGACCTTCGGAATGGTGTGCAACAGGACCACTGCTGAATCCTGGGGGTGACTATCCCTGCTTTACACAATTCTTGCTTCTTTCCTATCTTTTCTATTGCCCTCCTTCCCTTCCCCATCACTCTAATTCATAATAGTCGCCGTCCTCCCCTTCCCCATCTCCCTGATTAAGATTTGTAATAAACCGGTTGGACCAACACTGTTTCTTAATCTCACACTGGGTATACATGTATCAAAGAACCTCCTCTCCCTGCTATAAATTGGAGCGAGACAGCTCCCCATAGCCCACAGCTCTTTCAGAGCTTATTCAGGCTTATTCATCTGCTTTGGTATGTGTCTTCTATTCACTCTGGTGTTCGTTCCCTCCTGTTTCTCTCTGATCATAGTGTTCCATTTATTGTTCTCCCCTGTTTTTGTCCTTCCTTCTCCTTTCTCTGTGCAGTAGTTTCTGCCCTTCCCTCCCCAGGCTTTCCCAACCCTGCAGGGCGGCTGCTGGGCCCAGCCCTAAGCTGACCCATGGAGCCAGCTGGAGCCATCTGTCTCATACAATAGGGCAGCACCAGCCTTATCTCATGCTGCCGCCCCACAGCTCCCTGACTCTCCATAAACAAAAGTAAAAATAGTACATGTCTGTCTACTCTTTTTTGGCATACATATCTATACAGATAATGTCTCTTCTTCCTATATACAAGAGAAATACAGAAGAGAAAATTTGAATGAGCATAAATGCACACACCAGGAGACATCTCATTCTACAGAACAGAAATGCATACACAGAAAAATTTACAACTTGGAAACATGATCATGAAAAAGACAGATATATTCATTGAACTTGTTCCATTTCATAGCTCAGTCATTGACATCTGTGAACCAAACTGACAAGATTTTACATTTTTATAGTCTAATGCTGTATTCTACATATTTGTATACTATGGCAGTTTCTATGCTGTGCTGGAAAAGGTTCCAGTTCCTTGTCAAACCCAAGTCTCTACTAAAGGTTTATTTCGTATATAAACAAAGTGTGGAATTAAGAGTTCTATTGAAAGAGATCACTTCAGATGATTACCTCTATAAATTCTCTTTTTCACAGAACATATTTCATTCTACTCAAAGTCAGAACAAAGCGAAAATGTCCTACCAAAATGTCTCACTGGTATTTTGCACTTTATGAACTGTCAGTATGATATAATGTAAAGTCAGAAACACATATATAACTGTATCACAACCCACTGGAATGGAAAGTCTGCAGAGAAAGCATTGGAAAGAAATTAGAGAGAATGACATAAAATATAAAACTGAATGAAAGATGTTACTGGTAATCTGTGCTGTTGACAAAATCCTATTTTCAATCCAACTAACTTTTTCCCTTTCTCTAAAATGAAATGAAAGATCATTATAGATAATAATTTCCCTCCCCCACAGCCCACTGCTGGACAAAAAGGAATGGCATTAGACAGGGTGTTTAAGGTCTCATGGAAGTCAAAGATCTCACATTGCTCTGACAGCACAGGGCTAGAAGGCTGTCCCTCTCACCCCTCATGACCCAGGGGTTTACCACCCAGTGAGGAGACTTAAAAGCCATCTGCTGGAGTACTAGCTCTCTCCAGGCACTGTAATAGGGGGCTGGGCTTGGGACAGCTAAATGTATTGGCAAAGTGTTGCCATTCCTTTTCTAGGAGATGGCTCTAGCTCATATACTTCATATGCTACTTTAAACTCTGCCAAGCCCCAAGGTCACCCTAACACTGGCCTTATAATCTGTGAGCCGTAACTAACTCCTCTGCAGTCTTGCTCTACTGCACTCAACAGATATCAGATGAAGTAAAAAATCTGTCCCCACACTTAGGAAGCATAATCTTCATGTCATTAAGTAGAAGGATCTCCTGAAATATGATAACATTTTCATTCTTATGACATACTTAAACATACTCCCTTACAATCCCCTGAAATAAGAGTTCATATAGTTTCTTTTCCAACAAAATATTTCCCCCCCCCCCCTTCACTCTTCCAACTGCATCATCCTGTAGGATTTTGTTTATATCTCAGTAGACAGATAGAAATAATACTAATTCTTTCTGTTGGTAGCAGACCATATAGCTCTAGACTATAAAACAATATATATGCTCATTTGTTTTCAAACATCGTTTTCTCCTAGCCATACTTATTCCCAAGGAAAAGAACATAAAGCAAGACTGAATGAGTTTACAAGATAAGCAAATGTGGATGACATTTGGCCATGTCACAGCCATTATGTTGAACCAAACCCAGATTAATTCCATGATATTGTTATGCAATGACATGCTACCAGCCTTGAATTCCAGCTGAGTACAGATTTCCAAATAAGGGCAGGACAGGACAGACACCGGGCAGGACATGTCTAGAGATTTCAAGATGAAAGAAATTTTGAAATTGATTGATCGAATCGGGGGGGGAAAATAAAATAAAATAAAAATGCAACAACTGCTGGAGGTTTAAGGAATTTTTAAGTTTTGAGAATATTTCTATACTTCCTTTTGTTCCCAAGGAAAAAAAAATCAAATTATTGTTGATGCTTGATTTCATTCATTGGACAATTTGAAGTTTTTATATACTTTGCTATGTCATCTGCTATCTACTTTCAGAGCAAGTAAACAAATCTGTAAATGCAATTCAGGAGATCTGTATCACTTGTGAATTAAAACATTCTGAAG